TTCACAATGCGGCAGACTTCATTGAAGCGGGGTGTACACATGGTACTTCTCTCTACATGGACTACAGAAATAACCATGTTGGCATGACAATAGCATGAAGCTGCTTTTCTATCACCAACTGATGATGATTGCCTATTGAGTCAATTTTGTCAAGCTTGCCTTAAAGCCTCAGATGTTTCTGACTTAGGGAGAAGAGATGCTGCTGCAGTGAGTGTTAGTTCAGTACCTAGAAGCGGTCTATGTGGCTTGGCATTGAGCAAACTTGTTGAGAAAAGAAATGGTGAGAAGGTAATTAAGTGTGCTCCAAACTTACATATGAGAAGGACATAAGTTTTAGATTAAATTTTAAAAGTCAATAATCTGGCAGAAAATCATACAACACACAAACTTTGTTCTCAATAGAAAGAATAATCAATGGCAATCTGAAGTTGTATCAAAATGCGGGAAAATTTACTGAGAAAAGAAACTGTAAATTGGACACCCAAGATGGTCCCCATTCTCTCACAAAAGTTAACAAGATGTTGGGCATTCATTCAATTTTTATTATTAAAAACTTCTACAATTTATTTCACTGTATTTCTCTTACTAGGAAGATCAGTGAGAATTGTTACCGGCTCAGTAAAATCCTGGGGATCACACATGTGCTGAATGCTGCCTTTGGGTTCTGGTGTAAGAAAACTGTACAGGAGTACAAAGACTTGGGCATAAGGTTTCTGGGAGTGGAGGCAGACGACGCTGAAAACTTTGAAATGTTCCCGTACTTCAATATGGCAGCAGATTTCATACATATGGGGTGCACTGAAGGTACATCTTCCATGTACATGGAAAGGCCCTACTTTGCCATCCAATCATGATGACATGCTAACTAAGAACAATGACAATTCCTCCAAAGATCTGCTTTCAAACAGAAGCACTTAAGCATAAATTCACTGTCTTTCTAGACAGATAAATAATAGGAAGAAATAGTGAGGCAAATGAAAAGGCAAAAGAGCCAGGGGGCTACGTATCCATCCAAACAGCAAAATGTGGCAGACTTGAATCCTTTCAAAGTCTTAATTTAAAATAAACAGTAAGGTCTGATATAATCGTACATAGTAGAATTCAAACTTGCTTGTGCAACAGTGCTGACTGCCCATGATAGCAATTTTTGCTACTTCCATACCATCCACTTGCTAAGGTTAAGTCCTTCCATGATGCCAGCCCGATACTTGTCTTATCTTTCCTTTGCTCTACTGTCAGACTCCCAGTGCTGACATTGACTGCTAACATCTGTACAATCCTATCTCTAGCAAAGCTGCAGAAAACTGTGAGATGTTAAACCGTTACGGCATCATTTAAACTCCCAGTGCTGACAATGAGTGCTAACATCTATATCCTACTTCTCTATAGCAAAGCTGCAGAAAACTATGAGATGTTGAATCGTTACGGCGTCACCCACGTTGTGAACGCGGCGCACGGCGACATCGATAATGAGTGGGAATACCGCGGCATGGGGATACACTATCTCGGGGTGGATGCGGACGATACCCCCTACTTTGACATCTCTGAGTTCTTTGTCCAGGCAGCTGAGTTCATTAAACAAGCCAGGAAGCTTGGTATACTTTTGTCTTCTCTAACTAAATTGCTTCTGGCTCAGAATACTGCTTTTGGCTGAAGACAGCTTTTGGCTCAGTTCTGCCAAGCTTTTGGCTGAGTACTGCCAGGCTTTGGCTTAAGTACGGCCAAAATAGATATTCAGAAAGCATCTTTTTTCTTAGATTTGCTGGAGGCTGAATTATGATAAAAGTTTCTTGCTTTGATGTTGTAGACAAAGGTTTTTGCTGTTGTACATGTAGTGTTGCTGGCAAGCGAATGTTGCTAGTGGCACGTATATACATGTATGGCATTTGGAAAGCTGGAATTCTAGTAATATGTGTTTGGATGTACTTTGTACATATAGTATAGTACAAATGTATATGATGCTTTGGATGTCAGATAGACAGTGCATATTAGCCATTAGGGTACTAGTGCTCCTCAGACACAACTCGTCTGCTACGAGAAAAACAGTTGGCAGTGAGTGATCTTACCAGAAAATGTTTCTTGTACAAACTTAAATGCTCCCAAAAAGTTTTATGTCACTCACGAGTACCTATAAACTATGAAAGGAACTACAGTACTGTAACAACACACTCAATGTTTCAAAAGGCCCCGAGCTGGGATGTGTGATTGTCTAAATTGGTGTCTTCCAGGACAGGAGCCAAAAACTTCCATGAACTGAAGAGGATGGGCGTAACACACATTCTAAACACTGCACACGGGTACTGGAGCCGCCCTGTAGAACTTATGTACAGGGAGATGGGGGTAGAGTATTTGGGCATCATGGCTGATGACTCGGAAATGTTTGACCTGAGTCGCTACTTTTACAGGGCAGGGAATTTCATATCTTTGGCTAAAAAGGGAGGTGAGAACCTGGCCATAGAAACAATTATATACCAAGTAATTTTGTCACAAAAGTGGGTAACAAATTTATTATGTACATGTATGAAGCTTTAGTTTCTGCTGGAAGAATTAAGTATATGGCAATGAGGCATGCAAAGGGTCTTGAATAATTTTTGTTGGACAAAGGGAAGAAAAGAAGAAGGAAAAGAAGTACAAAATTGCACATCCTCCAGTATATATTATAATTATAATAATTATAACTTCACAGTCCATTCAATTCATGGCAATGAATGTTGTAATCTATAGCCTTTGTAACAGTATCTACTGTTCACAGTATGAAGCAATGTGGGATAGAATTACAAGAATTTATAATTGATAAGATTATATCATAGCCTTAACATTGCTACATTTTTCAAGCTGATCAAGACATAGTTCAGACAGCTTGGCTGCAGGATAGATCTAACTTAAAACCTTACTTGCTATTTTAGTCTGAAAACTTATCTAAGAAATTTCTATTTCTGCTACCAGTAGATATATATTGACCTATACTAAGATTGACCTCAGTGTCAATGTCTAGACTAAGTTGAACGTCTTAAAGTGATGAAAATCCTGTGGCAATACTTCTATTGGTGCAGATACCAGTTCTTCTGCAACAGGGGTCCAATAGTGCATGGTAAAAAAAGTGACAAAAGGGTTGTGAGGGTTTAGGTTCATCAAACATTTCTCATAGTACATGTAAGTCTACTGAAATGACTAACTTTTAAATAAATGCTTAACCAACATGGCCGAAAAGTATATTACTAAGAAGTGGATCCTGAATCTTATTATATTATAGGAGGAATCAGTCAAAAATTTTTCTTGACTTTGAGTATTTTGTTTAATGCTAGAAAAACTAGCAGCATATACCACAGGACAATAGTTGACTTCCCATAGCTTAAAATATATAGTATCAAATGTAAACTTGAAAGATCTTAATGGTGACTAAAAGATCATAGCTGCAGGACCAAGTTTAAGTCCATCAGAAAATCAAATCCTTAAAATAAGCTGTTCAAATGCACCAGATTCTCTAATATGTTTCTGTCAGCCAGCTGTTGGCTGCATGTCTGTGAAGCATCTGCAATAGTCTGAGAATCTGTGCCAAACTGTCAGCTAGTTTTACTGTGCCAGTAGCAGGGGTCAGGTTCAGAGAGGCAGGCAGCAGTTGAAAATGTCTTCAAGTTGGTAGAATGCCAAACTAGCTCGCTCTGACATATTCATGCTGGTCAGGACAATGCAGATAAATCGGTGATGGAGAGAAATACTTGGCCAAGCTGTTAATTCAAACTACTACAGGTGTATCATAGTATTAGCACCCTTGAAAGATTAGGTAATATCGAATATAAATTCTCTTTTTACTTATCAAGAATTGATCTAACATATACACGTAATATGTAATATCTGTAAATGTCTAAGAGGTACCGAAAAGTAGTACATTTAGCTTTACAATCTAATTAAGTTTGATTGCTAGTTTTGAGACTCAACAATCAATCAAACATTAAACTACTAGTCATCCTATCTGAGATGTCCTTTTTAGCCAAAACCAGCAGGAGTCAAAACCAGCATGAAAGAGCTGAATTAACTGCTGGAAACTGGCATGATGCCATCATGTTGAACTTAAAAAGTTTTCTGTGCAATGTAGCCTTCATGTATTGGTGTCGCAAAGTGATAAAATTGCTATATTGGTAAGTGGCATGTATGTTGTATTGCCTGTTGGCAGCATTAATGATACAATAACAGCATGACTGGTTGTTTTGCAGATGGTATCAGAAGGCTGGAGCATTTTTATCATGAACTTGCTTGTGCGTGTGTTTGTAACATATTGTATATGACTATTTTGAGCATGCTGATTGCATGATACATGTATTTTGAAATGTAAGGAATATTCCATTTCAGAAGTTTTGGGTTAAGTCAGAGAGAATATCTTGAGTTGCTGTTATCATATCATATTGTTTCATTTAAATTTTTGATTGTATTGTTTAATTGAATCTTTTATATCATCTAAATTCTGTTTCATTGTCATTTTAGTCCATTACAAAGAATTATCGTCTGACCACCCCAAGACTTTACAGATTAAATGTTCCAAACAAAATTGTTGAATTTTCAAATCATACAACTGTGTGAAAGTTGTCATTTTCAATGTTGTTTCTTTTGATATCAAGCTACAAAATCTAGGAAGCGACCTGGAGGTATTTCTTTTATCGTTAAGGACAAAATCCTCACCAAAAGTAATAAAATCCTCTCCAATAACACTTATTACATGTAGACTAAGTGAAATATGTGATTGTGTAAATATGCACTTTCACTCGTAATATATAATTATATATTACGAGTAGATGACTGTAGATATTATCATTCCTTAGATTCTTGTAGCTTGATTACAATACAACAGCACTGTTCAAAATAGTAGCCGAAAATAAAATGCAAATTCACTCTTCGACTAAGACTTCTTATTCAAAGTCAATTCTACTTAGTCTAATCTCTCACTCTCACCAATCCTTAAATTATGCATTAAACCTGTCCCTCCATGTTATTTGTCCCCCCAGGTAAGGTACTGGTGCACTGTGCTGTAGGGTTCAGCCGTTCCCCCACCCTGGTGGTGGCGTACCTCATGTTGTACCACCGCATGAGCGCCCAGGAGGCCCTGAAGACCATCCGCGCCAAACGCATGATCGGACCCAACCGTGGATTCCTCCGTCAGCTCGCAGATTTCAACAACAAACTGCTGGCCGAGGGGAGGATCAGGCCATACAACGGGCGCTGAGTTAGCACAGTTCAAGTTCAAGAGTCAATAAGTCCTATTCCATCAGGATTGTGACACCCAACTTTTCAGTGTTAGCAACTTGAACCTGTGACATCTATGAGGGTTTGGCTGTTTATTGGTCACTGAGTTAGAGCTCAATATCTACAAAATACCGGTAAATCAAGCAAGAGAGAAAAATCAGAAAATTTATCCAGTAACTGCTTGATTCAACTTGTAATGCATAATGTTCTACCTACTAGTAGTTGATGTCTAACCTTCATTGATGTACTGGAGGTTTGCAGTTGAAATTCAGCATTCAACAACTTAGTCCTATTCCATCAGGATTATGACTGACACCCAACTTTTCAGTGTTAGCAGCATGGGACTGTGACCTCACTTGTGACATTTCAGATATGAAAGTTCTGGTGATGTATATTGGGGTTGATCATGTATCTTGTACTACTGTAACAGCAAAGTCACAACTCTAATGCACACATCAGAAAGAAATGTGGTAACAAGCTACCAGTAAACAAAAGTCTGAAAATTCAAAGGTCATACTGTAGGGACAACACTTGAAAGGATTATGAAAGTAAGCACATGGTGTCTTTTATTCCAAGAACACTGAAAAACAACAAAAGGGACTGATGATTTGAATTTGGATGAATTTCCAAATTGCAAAGTTGTTGAATAAACTGACTCAGAGGTGAATCAAGAGGTATGAAGTATTATGATGATTATGACAGTCAAAATTGTTTCATTTCCATGGAACTATAAAAATGGTCAGGTGAGAATTGTTCTACGTATAAAAACGGCAAAGGTGTCATGTAATATAAATTACCTCCAAAGTTAAAGCCATTGGCCAACTAAGTTAAATATACCAGCACAATTTGTGTCTGCCAAAACTCTACATAGAAGTTTAACAACTGATAGGAGAAGAAGTACAAGCCTTGATTGAAGAAACACTGTATTTTTAGAATCATTCAAGAAATATAGAATCAGTCTATTTTTAGCATGGTCATGACAATAGAATTATAAATTTAAAGGTATTTTAGGATATACAATGTATATGTAAAGATAGCTTTCAATGTGCCAGAATGTAGTGACTAACTTCTCACTCTAATACCAAAGAACAGAAAGGTAGTTGTATAAATGGTATTTTGGTGGAGCAAGATTGTTCAATTTTGTAGTGGGAAAGAAGAGTGCACCAAATGAGAGAAATAATAACCTTGATGGTGTACATTGATTATTAACAACAGTTTAACAGTGTATTTTATTCTATAAATATAACTGGAAATTTATAGTAAGTTATACAAATTTGTGACTCAAATGTGAGATGTATTCACAATGACATTTTTACATTGCGTAAGTCTTATAATATTGTGCACATGTAACTATATGGTGTGAAATTTTGTAATGCTTTGTTGTTTCATTTGTTTAACAATAGTCCATGACAAAATGGCCTCAGTGCTTTGGAGCTACAGTATTTAACAAAATTGTGGCGTACCTAATATGAAAATCTTGCTGTAATTTATGTTATTTGTGCAGTGCCAAGCTATTATTAACCTAATATGTTATATTTCAAACATAATGCATGCACTATACATTTATCAGAAGATGTTTTTGAACCTGTTAGTTTTGTTGTGAAAAATGTTGTGCTTTTATTAGTAAAGAAAGATGTAAGAGAGAGAGACAGATGTTGAAGAATGTATGTGACAGACAAGGGTAATATTTCTAGATATTCTCCAAGCAGATGTTGGGTTGGAAATTTGTATCATTTTCTGACTGCTGGACTTGTCTGGTAAGGCCATTGGTGGGAGTGAAAAAAGATAGCAGTCAGAAAACAATGTAGTCTTTTACCCCAACATCTCAACAGCTTGGAGATCATTATTATGATTATTATATACCCACAGGGACTTTGGATTGGAAAATACACTGTCAGAACTAGATGATTTGGCATTATTTCAGAAAGACTAGAAATAGTACGTGTATGACCCACATTTCACTCTAATACATGTGTGTTTGGTAGTTTTTAGAAATAGTGTTTCTGGTCGTACATTCTTAAGTTAATACATGGAGCCTACAAAAGTTTAATTCTTAATTGTTTGGCCACCTTGATGTATGACTTGAACATATGATGACTCTGCATATTCTGCAAAATTCTTAAGACGTTCTGCATTCCTTAGAAGGAGGTGTGGGATACTGAGGGAAGGAAAGGAGTGGAATAATCAAGTGGATTTGGTTTGTGATATTTCAGCACAAATGTGGCAAGGCTAATAAAACAATATGTGTGAGATGTTTTGTATTGTATTCATTGTGTTCAACATAAATGTCATGATACCACTGCTTGCAATGTATTTCTAACAAAGGAATTTGACAGCCAGTGACGTTATGAAAGAGAGAGAGAGGGGGGAGAGAGAGAGAGAGAGAGAGACGTAAAAAAAGTCAGGGTGATAGCTACAGTAAACTCATTGATAAGTTACAATCATTATGTCACTTGTGTTGTTTCATCGTATCTGGAACTGAGCCACCGTCAAGTGACAAAAGCGCCCCCTATTATATCAATTGCGGACTGCAGGGAGATTGTGTGAGGCGTCCATCCATTGGTAATTTTTCGCTTGTGGCATTGCGCTGAGGAACGTTTGCTGTTTCTGTATTGGGATGATTTTTGAATAGTTACCAGGTTCCAACCAAGCAGATCCAGGCTCCAACCATGATGAATAAAATGACTAATAAACTGGTGGACGTATCAACTACCAAGTACCTAATACCAGCCCAGAAAAGAACAAGAAATAGCCATGCCTCCAAGTATCAGAGTTATCAACCAAGGATTAAGAAAAGGTGTTCAAAAATTCATTCTTTCCTAGAATTATCACAGAGAGGAACTCGCTGTCACCAAGTACAGTAGGGGCGTTATCATTAGATAGCTTTATAAAACAATGTTTAGAGTTAGATGTTCAAGGGCTAGGTGTAAAGCGGTTATACCGGCTATACAGATACAGATCCGTAGCTTGTATAGTACATACACATACGTCATACAATTTGACCTTGAATAGAAGCCAAAAAGCACAAAGAGACTTTTGTTGGCTGTCAACTTTGATCTCCTTGCAATGCTTATGACATTCTTCCTCTCTTTCAAAACTAGTTGTCCATAGCCACTTCGACATGCCTGTATTGTCTATGCTACATTTGTACCTGCTGACCAAACTTTAACCTGTCAAGTCACCCATCCAAACCTAGCTGCCCAGTGACATACATGTACCTTTCACGTGAGGTGCCCCTAACCGTATTTGAGGCGGTGTTCTAAAGTATAAACATTGCAAGTCTACAGGTTAGTGCGCGGCTGCACAGAGAAAGGCGCTTACAGAGACTAGACGGGCGGTCACTGGACGGAAATTTGGCGAGTCCCAATTCTTGTAAAGTAAATCATCCCATCATGTCATCCACCAACACAAATTTGTACTTTTATGGCAATACAAGCGGCTTGTTTAATTCATCGTGAGGAGCGCTTTAACACGCAACAAGGGCATTTTATGGGCCACTGACTACTGTTACCGGTGTAACAGATACGGGCATATCATATGAACTACTGTCATAGGAACACATCACTAACAGCCGTAGAAGAACGTCTTCAACTCCAGTCCTGTGCCTTCGTCCACTTCTGCATATAAGGTAAAACCTCAACGTAACTATGCCTTATGTTATAGCTATCAGGCTTAAATGCCGTGTGTACCACTTTAAGTTGAATCTTAACTGAGTTACGTTAACAGGCCTTGCAGTTAAGGTTACATTCGTGGCCCCTCCCGGCACATACATGTACTATTCAAACTTTATCTCTCCATTCTCGGAGTTGTCCTTTCTGAGGAATTCTTAAAAACTTCTGTAGGCTTTCAAATGGGGTTATATCTCAAAAGACTTGTGAGTTTTGTCAAGGTTTCAACAATCAGGTTCACATGTGCTTTTACTTTTACTTAGTAGTACTTCCATTCTAGACCTATGCACAGTCTTTCTGTCTATCAGTGTTTACCGTTTTAGCTCAAGCTACGAAGTGGTAGTTAGACATGCAGTGTAATTGCCCTTTCTTCAATTTGTGCTGCGGTATCATATATCACAATATTGCTAATGCACCTTGAATCAGTACGAGTGAATAACATGTATATCATCTATTCTCCAAGCAGAGGTTGGTGGGAATACAGTAACCTTTCTACCACATGCCCCATTTCTCAGCGACAGAAAAGGGACATATAATAGAAAGGCTGCAATCTTCCCCACTAGCCTCTGGTTGTGTGATTGTTGTAAGCAGTCTTATCTTTCCTGATTTCACAAAGGGCAGACGGTGTGCATTTCTAGTGCATACGTGTACCTGATACCCGTACTGCTTTATCTATTAGCAGGGCCCGTAATGGCCAGGGCCCGGAAGTATGCTGTCATTGCCGTGCTGGTGATTTTCCTTACGGTATGTTCGTCTTTTACTGTTAATGCTACAATGGACATGGTTGCTATGTATTTTGGATGTATTTTGAAGTACAACTCAACAGGTACAAACGAATAAGGGCAACAAGGAGACGTTGCTCATGTTTAGTTTATGCAATCTATATTTCATGGTTGAAATATATCATGTTGTAACACTTTTAGTTCATGCAATATACATTGTATATTGTATACATTGTATACTGTATACATTGTATATACAATGTTAATATCATGGTTGAAATGGAAAGACGACAACAGAAAGCTAACAGATGATGTATTTCAAACCTTTGTGAATCTATATGAAACTTGTAATTATTACTAGTATGTTGTGTAAGCTGGTGACATGTAACATGTTTAGGTCATGTTCTTGCATGTTTCTCGATTGTAGACCTCTTAGTTGTCTAAGAGAATTAAGTTGGAAAAAGGGGCATTTATATTACAAATGTAGCTCAGGAGCGTCAATCAAGTTGGAGGGGAGGGGAGGGGAGGGGTGTGTAGTTACAAGTACGTTTCCCCAACTGTAGGACATAAATATGGTGATGTTACTAGTATACTATAGAGGTGGGAATATCTGTGTTGGAAACAATTAGCATTTTAAGACGACATGTGTCTGAAAAAATGTCTACATTATAATGTAACACCGTTACTTTATTTACATTTACTCAATCTTCTTTCCGTCACACAGACTTTAGAATTCCAGGCTCTGCATTGGTCGAATATTGGAATCCCAAAACCTCTACTGAAACCTCTAATTCTTCGACGGGTGAAGATCCCAAAGAACATGACTGCAAAAACTCCACATCTAGTGCTGGTAACATCTCAAAGGGACACAAATAAAACTCCTCACCAGTCGCTAGTAACATTTCAAAATACGACTAGTAAAACTCCTCACCAAGCGCTTGTAACATTTCCAAACAACACAAGTAAAACTCCTCACCAAACGCTGGTAACATTTCCAAAGAACACAAGTAAAACTCCTCACCAAATGCTGGTAACATTTCCAAAGAACACAAGTAAAACTCCTCACCAAATGCTGGTAACATTTCCAAAGAACACAAGTAAAACTCCTCACCAAGCGCTTGTACCATTTCCAAACAACACAAGTAAAACTCCTCACCAAATGGTAACATTTCCAAACAATACAAGTAAAACTCCTCACCAAATGCTGGTAACATTTCCAAAGAACACAAGTAAAACTCCTCACCAAGCGCTTGTACCATTTCCAAACAATACAAGTAAAACTCCTCACCAAATGCTGGTAACATTTCCAAATAACACAAGTAAAACTCCTCACCAAACGCTGGTAACATTTCCAAACAACACAAGTAAAACTCCTCACCAAATGCTGGTAACATTTCCAAATAACACAAGTAAAACTCCTCACCAAATGCTTGTACCATTTCCAAACAATACAAGTAAAACTCCTCACCAAATGCTTGTACCATTTCCAAACAATACAAGTAAAACTCCTCACCAAGTGTTAGTAACATCTCCAAAGAACACTCCACAGGAGCAAGTAAGACCCGAAAACCATGAAAATGTCTCATTTCCAAACAACACTACGACTAAAACTCCTCACCATGAAAATGTCTCATCTCCAAACAACACTACGACTAAAACTCCTCACCATGAAAATGTCTCATCTCCAAACAATACTACGACTAAAACTCCTCACCACGAAAATGTCTCATCTCCAAACAACGGGAACACTAAAACTCCTCACCATGAAAATGTCTCATCTTCAAACAACAATACGACTAAAACTCCTCACCATGAAAATGTCTCATCCCCAAACAACACTACGACCAAAACTCCTCACCATGAAAATGTCTCATCTCCAAACAACACGGAGACTAAAACTCCTCACCATGAAAATGTCTCATCTTCAAACAACACGGAGACTAAAACTCCTCACCATGAAAATGTCTCATCTCCAAACAACACGAAGACTAAAACTCCTCACCCTGAAAATGGCAAAGCCCCAAAAGTCGCAAAGACTGAAGCTTGCTACCTTGAGCAGGTTACGTGCCCAAAGAACACAACCATAGTCGTGCTAAACAGAGACCGCCTGTATCACCAAGGAGACGTTCTAACCGTCAGGGTGGTGGTAAAAGACAAAGAAGGAAGGCCAAAGACGTACGGGGGAGATTTTTTCCGTGCCAGACTGGTCAGTAGTGACCGTTCGCCGCAGGCCAGTAGCACCGGGCACGTCACTGACCACTACAACGGTATCTACACTGTGAAGTTCCCGCTCTATTGGGCAGGGGGCGTTTCGGTAAGTATCGAAGGAATTTGCTTGGGACGAAGGGATGCTGTAGGGTAGAAGCGATAACATTTTGATACATATTCGTAACGTTTTACCAGCTTACAGTTACTGCATTCATTGTTCTTGTCCGTTTTATCTGATGATAGCTTTAAATTGTACTTGAACAGATTTCTTGTGCACAACGATACCTTCTTCTAATAAAAGCCTATTTGCTGCTCGTTCTGCCAGCGATGTGGCATTCTGTACATAACTTCTACTCCAAACGTACACATCCTTTGCCTGATTTTTGTTCTATATCAGATAAAGATTCAGCTGGTCCATCCCAGCGAGGCAGTGAAGGTCCTAGACAGAGTGCGAGAAGTTCCAAACAAGAGAGTCTTCCACTGTAGTTTCGTCGACGCGAAGACGAAGGCCACCAACACAACACAGTGTTTCAGTTCTGCCAACTCTAGTCTACTGCCCCACCAACAGTGCGACTTCTCAAAGCCAGACGTGAACGGGACCTGGATTTGTGAGAAACCGGACAAACTTCCGTGTTCCGCCATATCAAAGTGCAGATGGGACTCGGGAAAGAGCAGGGCAAAGATGCTGGAACTATTGTCTGAAGAAGAAAAGAAACTTTTCCAAAAGTAAGTCATCAACTGTAAGTTACAAATGTAACTCCAACGGCGAAATGTCGAAGTGAAATGAAATACCAGCACACCAGTACTCCTGTCTATTCTATTGCTGAGAGTTTCTCATTCTTGTCCTGTCCTCTTGAATAATTTATACGTGGCATGATGCTCGCAACGGGTGTACAGGATAAGAAAATACGTATGATGCTCTGAATAAAATATGCACAGGTTAGTAAATGTCTTTGGAAACTTGATACCTTGAATGTATATCTACTGTATGCATACAACGTTGTATACAATACAACTAGGGCTGTAGAAATTGCATGACTAGTTTCCACACCCCACAGGCCCTATCTTGAGGAGGAACTTGAAGTAGACCCTAAGGAGCCCATACACGTTCTTAAAGCAGAACTTCCCACACCTCAACACCTTCCAGCGTGTACCTGGGACAAGTCTGCAGCTTTGGGACATTGGTCAGGCAAGGTCTGGACGTCATCCGTCTGCAATGTCCGAGTGTTCACTCAGAATGACATCCGGCGGTGCCTGGCTAACAAGACCGTGTACATGCAAGGTACGTATCGTTGTATCCATGATTGCGCTTCTGGATATATTAGATACAGTCCATTGGGTATAATGTTAAATTTGATTATTTCTATTCCCTCTAGGTGACTCCACCATCAGACAATGGGGCCAGCGTTTGCTGACGGTAGTACCGTTGAACCACAACAAGACCAAGGGTTATTTAGGTTTGTCAATGTTTCCTTAATAGCTTTTTTGAGCCTATTTCGTTCTAAGAAACGCCTGCCAAACATCGTCAAAGGTCGGACAGTCACAATGAATTGTACATTTTTGTTTCTTTAGCTCGTTTGGAAGGAGACAACAGCCAATGGAACATCTCTGTTCGCTACCGCTTTCACCACTTCCCCGTACAGGGAGGCGCTTGGTGTGTCTTCTTTGACTTCCGCTACGTTGTTGAAACGCTGGACTCCATTCTTGGAGGCCCAAACACGATAATAGTCCTGAGTCT